CAAGGTGTGAGTATGTCATGTAAAAGCTCATACCAATCATATGTGGCTTGTTTGAGGCCATAGAGGGAGGAGAGTAGGTGGCAGCCAAGATGCTGTAGGTTCTCTCCCATGCGCTCAAAACTGGGGGGTTGGCGCATGTACACATCTTCCTGCAGCTTACCCCAGAGGAAGGTGCGACACGCGTCGAAACAGTCGAGTTCCCAGTCATGCATGGCTGCATAAGCTGCCAGCACATGAATAGATGCAGATTTTGCGACGGGAGCGAACATACGGCCAAATCAATGCCTGGGATTTGGGAGAAACCCTGTGCGACCAGACGTGATTTAAACATGGGCCCGCCTTTCAAGTCTTCCTTGAATTCCAGCACCCAGCGACAACCAATCGCTCGACAGTCCATAGGAAGTTCAACTAGCTCATACACGTTCATTTCTGACATTAAGTTGATTTCCTTGCACATTGCAGCCATCCAGTAGTCCTTGTCAGGCCGTCACATCGCCTCATCGAAGGTTGCGGGAGGGATCTTCAAGTCGTATCCTGGAGTGAGAGGATTGCGATGTGCATCACTCCGGATGGACAGACAGGCGACTTTGACACTGATAAGGGAGGCAATGACCTGTGGGAAGCTGACGTCCTCGTCGTCTGGGAGGATTGCATCAGGATCGATGAAAGGCAGTTGTGGAGGGTCAGGCATTGCAGTGGGCACAGGAACAATGGGAGCGGGTGCAGGATCGATTGTAGGAGCCAGAGGAGGGACCCTGTTGATGCGGGCTGCGCGAAGATCGCGCTGACGAGCGAGACATGCTTTCTCAGTCGCGATCCATTCCTTGAAGGCATTGCCCTTTGCAGTAGGCACAGGAATACGACTGGAATGACGAATGATCTCGGCATGAGGAGGAGTCAGTGCATGTTGCAGAGGGGGGGCTGGAGGAGGAGCTGCTGGAGCGGGAGCGATGGGAGTGCTATCATCTTCGTCATCGCTGTTGGGGAAGGGGCGATTGGAGAGAGTCTCATCGAAGATAACATCTTGGGAGTTAAAGAAAGCGCCAGTGACAATGTTGTGACAGCGCCAGGCCTTAACTCCAGGTGGGTATCCCATGAAGATGGCCTCCCGTGAATGTGGACCAAGCTTCTCCTGTAACTCTGGGGGAATACGTGCAAAGCAACGAGCACCAAAAATGCAGAGGTGACTAAGATTGGGTTGAGACCCATGTACCATCTCATATGGCGTCTTGCCAGGAGGTAGGGCGCAGGATTCCGTCCGGTTAAAAAGATAGCATGCAGTGAGCGCAGCCTCGCCCCACAAGGATGGAGGTAAATGTGCAAAGTCCAACATTGCATACATACGACCCTCGATCATACACATCACCCTCTCTGCTTTACCATTCTGCTGATGAGCATATGGAGCAGAGCATCGACGTTGGACTCCCATTTCCTCGAGATCCTTGGTGAAGGCATTGTTCAGGAACTCCCCCCCATTGTCTGACTGAAATATCTTAACGTGCTGACCTGACATGTTCTCCCAATGCGCTTGTAGTGACCGCCAGGCTTCCAGTGCTTGGTCCTTCGACACAAGTAGCTGAAGATCCAAGGCGTGAGTGTGATCATCAAGGAATACAATGAAATAGTGTTTGCCGTGGGGAGTGAGTGTTGGGATGGGTCCACATACATCAGAGTGAATCAGGGCGAGGAAGGTGGCGGCTCGCTCAGTTTCAGATGCCTGAAAGGGTAGGCGCGGATGTTTGGCAAGAATGCAAGACTTGCAGTGAGAGAGTGGAGTCAACGAGTCTAGAGTGATGCCCTTGGCGACATGACTAAGATGCATCACTGCTGCTTTGCCGATGTGGCCAATACGGGCGTGCCAGAGATCCAGGGAGAGGGGGATGTGCGCGAATGCGGAGATGACCGGCGCATGAGGAATCACAGGTGCAGGAGGAGAGAAGGGAATGAACTCTACATCTGGAGCGTACAGTTTCCCCATTGCAGGGATTGCGCCCAGTTGTGTTCCTTTGTAAGTGAGCTCGCAGGTCATGTTCGAGTGGAAGTTAACATCCCATCCCTTAGTGTTCATGCAACTGACTGACAGGAGGTTAAGAAGTGCCCCTGGGGCATGAAGACAGTTGGATAGGTGGACACATAAACATCATCCGCCAATGCTCCACCAGACAATGCAGTTTCCCCGTCCTGTCGTTTGCAGGATACCATGGTTAGCTGTAGTCACTGGTACACAGTCCTCTGAGGAGTAAGTGTGGAAGTAACGACGGTCCTTGATGAGCGTAAGCGTGGTGCTGGAGTCGAGGATGGTATCAAAAGGAAGACCGGCGATGCAAGATACTTCATCCGGGACCTCAGCAATGGACACAAATGACATGTCCTCCATCAGACTCGTGAGACTGGTTATGGCTGCTGCTGCAACAGCAGGTGTGGGAGCAGGAACTGATGTAGATGCTGGTGCGGGCGTTGTAATGGCAGCTGCTGTCACGTCTTTCTCTTGTTTCTTGTTCTTCATCCAAGGGGCTTGCCCTTCCATGCCGCTGCCCTTCCCATAACAGTGGGCATGGTCGTGGTCACCTTTATTACAGCCTGGTGTGGTGCAAAACACTCCCTGTGGGTTGTGTTTATGCATGTGCAGACCGGTGATCAAATTCGTGCCACTGGTTGAAGGTGTGGTGGTAACGTTGGCATATTCGGAACCCAGATGAGAGGAATGAGCATGCTGGGTAATGGCGTGACGTGCTGCTTCAGATGTGATGCGGGACACACAACTTTCAAAAGTGAATGTGAGCACGGTGGTAGGAGTGGCACTCATGGATTCATCGTGCATATGCTGTTCGAGTAAGGACTTAAACTGTTGCCAAATGGGTGTTTGGGGAAGACCCATCAACATGTGATAGATCACGTCAGTCTCACCCCAAGGGGCACCAGCATCGAGTAAGCATTCACGAAAACAGCGTGTTGTGCGACATAATTAGTGGCATCAGCAGAGTCTTTCATCTGTAGCGCTTGTACCTGCTGTCTCAGGAGGTACTATGCGCTCATGTCGGTGTGGTTGAAGTGTTCTCGCAAGATTTGCCATGCCTTACATGCGGTAATGTCGTGTGAGCGAGGGATGAGTGATGCAACGGAGGGACTGAGATGACGAGTGATGAGCTCTTTTGCCTTCATGTCTTCAAGCAGCCATTCACACATCACTGCTATTTCAGCAGTCATGGGATTCACTGGATCGACAGGTGAGGGTAGAATAGAGGGTTGACCGAGAAGATCCCCCGGTTCAGCTTTTGTGTTAATATGGCACCAATGATCCTCGCATGCGAGGGCGTATTGCATTTTAGTAGCCCAACCAACATAATTTTCCATACCGAGCAACTCGGGAATATGATTGTGCTTCCCCATGACGATACTGCCGTGAGGAGAAATGAGATGGACGAGTGGCGGGCGATGATTGAGACAGATATGTTCTAAAGTTCTCTGTCTGGCTTTGGATCAAGCAGGGCTCATAACCTGTAGAAAGTAGAGCTATAGAACAAGTCTCAGCATCTGGAAGAGAACCACTAATATTGACAATACCTATAGAACAAGTCTATAGACGAAACACAATAAGTGAGAGTCAGTGTGCATACAGAACATAGAACATACCTCAGCATCTGGAAGAGAACCACTGAGGTACAAACAACATGAAACAAAGATATTATAAGCTATAATATAGAGACCAAGACGATCAATGAAACGGGAATGTGTCGATGTTGTACATCCAACAACTACTATAAAGCTTAGAGTAGATTTGTCTGAATATCTCAGTTCTTATGAGAAATTGAGATGTGAGCCATTTACCTTTGTGTATTATACATAGTGCTGATGAGACATAGTTACATTGTTCTCCTAGATACTTACACAGAGTAGTAGAGAGCCATTTCCCAATACTTAGGGGTCAAACCCAATATTTTGTAGTTTTTAGTTGATATTGTGAATATTATTGCTCTTTTTATCCAAAATACCTGTCATTATTATTATTGCACATACCACTCACTTTCCTGATGCTCATTATCAGTTCCAACATTGTTTCCTGTAACCCACAAACCCAAAGCCTACCAATTTGCTAGCCTGAAAATATTGAATCCAACACTTTGGCATCAAACATTATAGTTATACCTTTGGACATTGTTTCCTGCTTTTAGATTATTGACTACCTGTCATATCACTAACATCCAGACTGTTTCCAGACAGCAAACCTCTGGATCAAACACATTTGTAATTTAAGTATAGCAGACTAGGTAGTGCAAGACCACAATACATTATATTGGTTAGGTGCTTACTTTATGTAGTGATCAGTCATTGTTGTATCCTTAGTCTGAGTATAATGGAGTGAGGTGGATAGACAAGGGTAAAGAAAATATATAGCTACCTGTGTTAGTGGTGACCTGTATGTGGAAATATCCAACACTCCCTTTCAAGTCTAGCATAGTTGAAGCATATCAACAAATTTCTGAACCTTTGAATAAGCAAGTGCCTTTGTGAAAAATTGGCATTTATCAGGCAATATATGAGTGTGACTCTACTATTATTGATAGTCTTTCAATGAAATGATACTGGATGTTAATGTGCTTTGTGTGCAGATGAAATTTGTTGTTCTGGGTAAGAGTAATAGCACCTTGTTTGTTACATAGGACAAGATCAGGACTGATAATAGGCATACATTTTTTTTGAATAGATTATAAAGTCAGATGATATCCTTTAACAAGTTTGTTACAGCAACATACTCTGCTTCTATTGATAATAATGTTGTGTTATGCTGCTTCTTCAAACTCCATGCCACTAATATTTCTGTGAGCAATATGATGTGTCTCAATTAAATGATAATGTAGTTGTGAACTCCAAACTGTGTCTGTGTAGGCTAAGATGCCTTCATTGAGATCTGTGACTCAGAGGTTGAGATAAAGGTCACATGTGCCCTTGAGATAATGCAAAACATGCTTTGCAGCTTGCTAATGAGATCTTTCAGGATTTTAAGTGAATTGTGTAAGAATTGAGGTTGTAAATACAACAGGACATAAGCTAAGCACAGCCCATGCAAAAGAACCAAGAAGTTCTTGATATAGGATATTGTATATTTTGCTGATACATTGCATAGTTATTGGTGACTGGTCATTTGATAGAATAACATTAGGTTTGAGAGGAGTAGAGATAATATGAGTATTTTTGAGTTTAAAATGTTTGATAAAAGTGTTGATATAAGTACACTGTGATAATAGTAGAGTGGACACCATTTTCTAGTACTTGACTTCAAATCCAAGCAACTATTTTATTTCTCCAAGATTAGATATCTCAAATCTTTTTCTCAACTCATTCTTTAACCAATCTATTACTTTGACAGAGCTTCATGTGACAGTTATTTGTCTGTTGATACAGAGACAACTATGGACAATTTCTCATCATGCTTGAAGAAGATTGTATGGTTAATAGCTGCTCATATAAATCTGATTTTGTGAAAGAATCAGCCTGCTTGAGTTCATAAAGACTTTTCTTGAGTTTGCAGACCTTGCCTTCTTAACTGGGTTTGAAATATCCAGAAGGGGGTCTCATATAGATGTCTTCAGTTAGTTCAGTATTGAGGTATACATTTTTTATATTAATTTGGTGAATTTTCCAGCATTAATGAGAATAGCTCTTACAGAAGGGAGCTTTATAATAGCAGAAAAAGTTTTATTGTAATCAATGTCTTTGTGTTAGCTGTTGCCATTAGTGACAAGGAAAATATGGTCATATGAAGGAGTCAGCACGCCTGTGGCGCGCGGGAGAGTTGTGAAGGGGTCGCCCTATCGGAACTCAGAGATCTTGTGAAGGGCTCATTCCAAAATTGCATATGTACTATACTTTCCTTATGGATTCTTACTGCCTGACCTCCTCCTCCTACTTTAGCATTCATCAATACTCCTGCATAGTATATTGACCCTCCCGATCCCAGGAAACTCTACAGGTATGGTCTTGTTGCAGTTCTTCAAGCTTGCCCAATATCTGTCACAGTTGACTGATACTAGCCTATCATACTAGGCAGCGGTCCCCACTTGAATATTCGGATTACCGGTAGCATTATTGGTATTTAAATACTGATAGCATGACTCTACCTAGTGAGCTCGTTGTGGTCCACTCGAATGCTAATTATGTTCAGATGGATTACTGATGCACAACCTTAGACTACCTGGTGAGCCGGTTCATCCTTACCAGAATTGGATTGTGCGCTCCATCAAAATTTTGCTTGCATAATTTGCTAGTACAGATACTGGTAACCTACATATTTATGTCACACTTCAATTAATTCACTTCTTGCTGCCAGCATCATTGGCTGCTTCATCCTCTGACCCAGACCCAGATCCAGCATTCTCATACAAGTCCTCCATTTCCTGGCCTTCAATCTCGATTTTAGCATGCTCCATTGCAGCAGTGCGCATTGCTTTCACAATTTTCTTTGTCTGTTTGAAGTTGCTCACATGTTTATACATACCTTCGATCATCGCCACCTGAAAGCCCAATTGAATTGCAAGCTGCTTGGCATGTTCATCAAATCCAAACTACACAAAGCTCACAATGTCCTCAGGGTGAACTTTAGAATCCAAGTGGACTCAGATGGTATGGTTGTGATTTGGGGTACTTCCAGTGAATACCTCCACAGATTTCTCTATATTTCCATTCATGATAGCTTTTTTCCCAGTAGACTTAGAGGAAGCCTGCAGGACACTGTTGGATACCTCTGAATTTTTGTCCTTGATGGCTTTTCCCCAGTAGACTTGAAGGGACCCTGAGGGACATGATGGAGGTGTGGGGCCATTGAGTGTTGATCTACTAGTATGTTGTAGCACAGTGTACTAGTTAGATTTGAGCTAGCGTGAATTGAATTTGTTCATCCCACCAATCAGAAGTGAGAATGAAATTATTTAAATAGTGACTTGGCACAACAGTATCTGAATAGTTGAGCAGTAAGGCTAGTATGGTGGGAGGTTGTCAAGGTTAATGAGTCTCGACTCCCCTAATTGTTACAATAGAACCTCCATCTTTGCCTGCCCTATACCATGCACACATAGTACTATATACATTCCTCCAAGTCCCGCCACCCTTTGGGCCTCTACCTTCGGCAACTTTTTGCAAGCATGTCTGTGTATGAACCAGATGTCATGTGCAAGCTACTGGCTGCACTGGAGCCGAAAGACTCAAAAAAAAAATTTGAAATGAGCTGGAAAAGTTTGGCAAGCAGGTGCAAGTTGGTGAATCTATTGAGATTGAGGACTAACTTGGAGATTATTTGACAACACAGGTCAAAAAACGTGTAGAGTCCTGGACTGGCCATGATGACCACATGACAAATCCACAGCCAAGGCGTCAATATGAGTGGGAGGCTGAAATTGTTGAGTATATCAACTACGTCTCAGGTAGGACTTAAGTACAGTCAGCAAAAGCACTCACACAACCATGCTTGGACAGCAAGATTCCTTTGCTTGGCCTCCACTTTGTGCCGCCATCTTACCTGCATGCTCTTTGGCAAAATCAACCTCAGCCTGCAGTCAACCTAGAGACCTTATATCTGAAGCCACTTCAGATCATTCACCTGTTCTATTACTCAGAACTCACACATTGTCCATGATGCAACTGTACAGACAGTGTCCAGTGGGATGGATGGACTGGCACTGGTCCACGAGATGTCTATGGGTTGTTTGTTGATGAAGGTGCAATTGGCACCCAACTACACTGTGAGAACTGTAAAAACAAGAAAGGTGATCAGCAGCAGAGCTTTGGTGAGCAAGACAAGGACGGGGATTCAAATCAGACTCAGCCTAAGGGTCACTGCTTTGCCATGACAAACCTGGAGTTCTGGCACAATTGGGTGCACTGGTCAATTCCTAGTGAGCACTGGCATCTTCATAGTGTAGTACATATTTACAACTTACTATAGTGGACATACCTATATTCTTTCGGAGGTGTGCAGTAACACACAAGCTATTTGACTTGTTGATTGAGCTACGTCTTTCATCAACTGCTGGTGGTCTCGCTGAAAATGTCAGGTGTGATTGTGTTAGTTCTAAATTTAGACCATCTGCCTCATTGTAGCTTAACACCTAGAGCTTTACCTACTTGAATTCAACTGGCATAAGTTAGCATACCTTCAAGCTTTGAAGTCTCATCACACTGCACATCACAGCATGGACTACTTTAGCCCAAATCCCCTGCAGTCATTCTCTGATCCTGGTGACACAAAAAACTATAATGATAAACCAATTTCAAACAATGTGATCACCGAGGTCTTCCAAGAATTTGTATCAGGAGGTCGCAAGAGGAATCAGAGGACTATCTATGGACATTGTCAGGCAAGTCTCAATTTGAATGGCTTCTATGTACTATAAACTTACTTGCAGATAGGTGTCAGCATTTCGTTCGACAATGCATTTTGTGCTGCAGGAAAAGCACTCATAACCAGTGGAGAGAAGCAGAAAATTAAAGTATTGAAGGGTGGATCATCAGTCTTATGAATGAGAATGGCAAGATCATTGGTTGGGTCAGTCCACCGCCAGTTCCAAAATGATCTCAGGCTCACCTATAATAATCAGCGGTTCTGTCATGGCCAGTCTAACACCAAGATCACTGAACTTCTTGATGGTCTGAAAGCTCACTGCAAGGAGCTTGATGTCCCCCCACCTACAATCTTTGTTGCAGACAACTGTTGTCACGTCTGCGGTGCAGTCACTGTCATTTTCCCTCAAGCAAGCATGAAACTTGATGTATGGCATTTTATTATGAGGCAAGCACCTGTTCTATTACCATTCAAGAGACTAGTAGTATACTCATCAGAACAAAACATAGATACACAGCCACAGTGCTCAATTCATCAAGAAATCTATGCCAAAGGAAGTAGTGGCTGAGATCTCCGCATGTATCCTCAAGAAGCATGCACAGGGCAAAATTCCTGCAGAGTACTGGGACTGATGTGAGCAAGAGAAAAGGCTTAGCAATACTTTTGAGAAGTGGTCAATGGAGGGCACGCAGGGTGAGTTCAAAGCCTCTTGCTGGTGGCGAGGACTTAATTGTTTCTGCTAGGTACATGAAGAACAACTTAAACATGTGAGAAAGGGATGTCTTGAATGTCTGCATCAGGATATACATACAGATGGCAGTTGCATTGAGGGATCCCACAAGGGCTGGAACTCTCTTCAATGAGCTCACAGCAGCAGCATCATGATGTTTACAGCACTATGTCATGACTTTGTCCTCTGATGGAATATCTGTGTTGCTTCTTCATGCGAGCATACATCTGATTTTCTTTCGTCAACTTATGGTTCTCATCACATTCATCTTGTTGACAGAATTGCATGACTATTCAACAGCCTTCAGCGTGAAGAGAAATCTACCACCAGTACCCACCCTCTGCCTGAGCCATGCAACTTTCATCAAAGGAGCACTTTGGCCTTGTCGAGTCAACCTTTGCATCCACGTTTGGTGGCCTACTAGACATCAAGACAAAGGACTCAGAATCTGGTGATACTGACTTATGCACTAACCTCCTTGACAAGATCACTAACAACGATCATATGGAGACTAGTCTGCAGTCAATGAGGTCAGAAATGATCAATGAATTGGATATTGATCCACAGCTGTTGTTGATGCCTCAGGCACCTGGCAGCTGTGAGCCTCCTGCAAGCATAGAAGAGCCACTACAACAAGCAAAGCCTGCAAAGTGCAAGGCAGATGACAGTGAAGAGTCTCAACCATGCCAAGGTCCGCCTCACAAACTTCTGAGGCAAACAGAGAGATCATAAGGGAACATCCCAGAAGAAGTTCCTACTATGCAGTCTTCAGAAGTTGCTGCATTGCTATCAAATCAGGTAAGCCCATTCTTCCTTCTTTGACAAACCACTCCTTAATACTCTTTTGATGGATGACTCATCTTTTGAAAAATTTACCGCCTCATATGAAAAACTTCACTTCCCTCCCATCCTACCTCACTTACTATCTCAATGGATGACTCATCTTACAAAAAATTCGTTGCCTCATTGTCATATCCTGCGTTCCGGACCCGGACTTATCACACATCATTTCCGGATGTCCAGATCCGACCGACTTCTACCTATTGTCCAGATCCGACCCGCATCTAACTTCCGTGCCTTATCCCTTTGAACATTCCTTCTCCAGTTAGACTATAATCATTTTCTGTACCTCATTTCATTTCCTCCTTTATTTTCCTCCGTTCTCATTTCCGTCTTCATTTACTATTTTCCGATAGACTAGTGTTTGACTTTTCTATATGCTCCGTCCACAGCCTCACATAGCTTCGGACTGCGCTGGCTTACTCTCCGTTAAATCCTCAGTAGTATATAAACCCTGTAGAATCTATGTACATCCTTAGTTCGAATATTATCTTAGACTCTGCTCATTCCCTCCTCCGTCCGACTTGAGTTTCTCCTCTCGTCGTCCTCCGCTAGTCTTAGGATCAACTCCTATAGACTTCTCACCTCCGCCTCTACCTCTGGTAGTCCTCCGCTATTTCCTTTCTAGTTCGGACATCGTCCGGATTAGTCTTATCCCTCGTTCCTGAACGTCCGCCGGAATTCCTGCGCATCGGACATCGGACTCCGGACTCGTCCAACAACCTTCGGACATCATCCAACAGCCCTCGGAAGTTAGGGGCACGTACTTGGGTAAGGAACACAGTGCACGAGCTGAAGCCAAGCCCTTCGGATTCAACCCTTGAGCACGTTCTTAACACTCGTATGAAAAACTTCACTTCCCTCCCATCTTATCTTACTTACTATTTCAATGGATGACTCACCTTATGAAAAATTTGTTGCCTTGTATGAAAAACTTTACTTCCCTCCCATCTTACCTTACTTACTCTTTTGACGGACAACTCATCTTACAAAAAACTTCATTTTCCTCTCATTTGCTCATCTGCATTATAGGGTATTTCATCACCCACACTGGACCACTACCTCAAGTCAAGGAGCTGACTGCCTTACTGCAAAGCTCTCTCGCGATGGCCGATGGCCACCAGCACCAGCCTTCCCACAGTCACACCCAACTTCACTCTCCCAGATCCGGTTGCAGTGATCAGTCCTGCTGCCATCAATAGTAGTACTGTCACTCCTGCACCCATTCTGAGACCCCCAGGGATGACCCATTCTCAGCACTTCATTACCATCACAACAAGAATTGATGCCCATGCCATGCAAATCTCCAGCAATACTGAGTTCCATTTGTTCATGGACATGAGAGTGGAGTTCACATGTATTTCCTTCAAGATGACGCCAAAACAGTGGGCTGTAGCTATGGAGACCTACAACAACCATCTCGAGGAGAAGAGCCATACTAGCAGTGTTGAAGCGGTGAAAAAAGACCCCCAGGCCCTTCTCCAAAAGCTTAGTGAGATTGAAGTGGCCATGATGAGCTGTGTGGTGAAGAATAACTTTAAGTGTGAGTCACTTGTACTTTTTCATGTGCTAACTACTTACTCCTTTCAATATAGCTTGTTCTGGCTCTGAAACCTTCTGGAGGAGACACTGTCATGCTATCGAGCTTGTCAAGACTGAGCCTGGGAAGAAGATATGTGAATTTACAGCTGTTTGAGTCACAAAGTTTACAAATAATCTCTTCTTCAGATTCGCAAGGCCCATACATGCTCCCACTGCAAAACAATCATGTACCCTGGTCCCGAGAACTCAGGGTACAATTACAGACGGGGCTTTTGTGCTGACAGCGCTAAGCAGGTATCCAAAAATGAGCCACCTCCACCCTGGCCTCAGCCACCAGGCATTTTCTCTGAAGGCAAGCATTTCCATTCATGTGCCTTCCTGGAAATGGTCAAACAAATCTACGAGCAAGTCTTCCTCTGGCCATCTGGTGAAAGCCCTGCCCTTGAGCAGGAAGCATTTGCGATGATGCTCTTGGACCAGTCGATGACACTTGAATCAGGGACTGTCCTATTCAAGTTGTATGAGAAGCTCGAGATTGACAGAACGACACCAGATGCACTGCTCACTGTGCACAATGGTGTCAAGCACCTTCACATTGAGTACCTCCAGGAGCACTGGGCCTCATAGTATTTTTTCTTTTAATCTCTTCTTTCATGCTCGATTCTTAGTATTTGATATTGATTTGTACCTATGGTCCAGATCTTGTACCTTAAAATTAGTTTCTCCCTGTGTTCTTTATCAGTCCCTCGTCTTGCTTTTTTGTTTGCATCATTTGCATCATTTTCTCTCCCCCCCTTCCTGCACAATAGCCACGTCTCCTTCCTTCCACTTTTTCATTATATGTCACATGACTTGTGGTTGATCTTGCAAATGGTCCCTCACATGCATGACCATTTTGGCATTATGTGAGACCAAAAAGGTTGACCCCTTCATATGAGGAAGTTGCCATGACAAGTCACACCTTATATCACATGATATTGTCATTTTTATCTTATTTGGCTTTGAGGATGAAGTGGGAGTTTATTATGTTTGCATTGGCAAGTGGATCAATGAAATCTCATGCATTAAGTCTCTTGATTGCTACAATTTCTTCATTCATAGCTTTCTGCCACTCAGATAACCTTGTGGCTTAACTCTACTATATCCACTTTCACCACCAACACAATAACAAAGACTTAGATCAAGGTAGGTACAAATTTTTTCTACTTATGCTAGAGCCTCAACTACTGTATTGACTACTGCACCAACTACTACCACCTCAGCTACCACTCTGACCTCCTCACACTAGTATCTACTACCTCTAGGCTATTCTGTAGAGTATGGTTTTTGCAGCTTATTACATCATTGCTTAATTAGTCAAAATCTCCTTCATAAATACTATAACCTTTAAACTTATTACTTAAGATATTGTGATGACTGTACAGTATATATGAATGGAAGCTATTGCCTTATTATCCTTCCACTACTCTAACATGCATACTCTTATACAGATATGAAGATACATATTGCTGCTTCTTGGATTCTAATAATTATATTTCCTTTTATAGTAATGTAAGGACAATAAAATGATACCAACTGACCAGACTTATGTAATAAGCAAAGCATGAACATAAAACCTATTGATCTGTTTCCACTGAGTAATGAAACTCTAGAGGATAGAGAGTTTGATATAAAGGATATGATACAAGTTAAGACCATATAGGCATATGATCAGTGTGTGATGATGCAGCCTAGGCAGGTTAGTTGAAAATGGATTAGCAGATAGCAAAATGTTAACTTGAAGATGCCACATATATTGTAAGTAAGAGCCAGTTGTAGTTGTAGTTGTAGTTGTAGTGGTGAACTGATTTTTTGAAGGACAACAACCTAAAGTACTAGAATAAGTCAGAACTGAAATGGTGTTCTAACTGGGCCTGTCTCATTTGCATCTGCCTCTTATAACACATTTAATTTATATAGGTATTTGGCTGCATTTAGATAGAAGTACTTTTGTGAGGTCAGTAATGCTATAGTTAATCTAATAGTATGGAATTGATAGAAAAGAAATATAATTTAGTCAGCCCAATAGTATAGTAATGATGAAAGATAAACCAAAACCAGTCACTCTAATAGTATGGTAGTGACAAAGGAAAAATTAAATTAAAACAAAATAAACTAGTTAACCCAATGGTATGATGATGACAAAAGAAATAATATGTTATGCTGATAGTTGCATAGTAAAACTGAAGCCTTGTATCATTGATATAATAACTGGACAGTCAGAGAGGCCTGATAGCACACCTACTAGACAAACTAGATAAAAAAATTAATAAGTACTATCAGAAGAACTTACTGATGAAATGACAAATCTTTAGCATGATTACAGATTGATTGTTTCTTTGTGTTCAGAAGCTTAATACTATTATGAAGGTTGGGCAGAAATTTGCCAAATTTACAAAGGCAAGACTAAGCTTATATAGATCAACTTATGTTGTTATCTGCAGAAGCTGAGGTGCATTGAAGCCAGTGATATAAATAAGATTATGTACTTAATTTGTTCAATAATGTTCTTATTGAATGGATTTAATATTGAATAGGCAATATAAGAAATATATCAAACAGATAAATTTGTATTGAGATTTTAACACAGGCTAGCTGCTATGCTTGTAGGATAAGTATATTTGACCCAAGAGGAAGCTAGAGAAGCAAGAATGTAGAAATTAGCACAGATAATGTCTTTTATTAGGTGATGCAAAGTACAGGAAAGCACTTTATACAGACAAGATGACTGACTTCAGTGCATTTAGAAACAATGCTTTTGGACCTATGAATGTAGACAGTTTGGTTGTAAACAAACATTTTAAGTGTCTTCTGAATTATCTTTAGATGAGCTATCCTTCTAATATTGCATCATAGAAGCTGCTTGATCATATTAACTATCTTAAAATAGAGATTATAATAAAAAACTTGAACAGCATAACAAGCCTCTTGTAGAACATTAGGCTAGCATAAGGTTAATTAGTGCACTAAAGTTATTAAGAAAAGTAAGCTAATGCACTGTAATGCTCTCATAGTAAACTTTCAAGCCCTTTTTTTTTAGCTTACTTTGTATCAGCTGTGGTCTACCTTAACCTAGAGTTAGCATTAGGGCTAGGCACATAGTTGGAAAGATTCACAGTCAAGGGCCTTGGAGGACACTGTATAGCTGGGCCTAATATTCTTTTTTAAAAGTAAGCTGCCATTAGTTGACCCTCTTCATTAAATAACTTTTCAGAGTTGGCATCACTGGCCTATGACATTATAGACTCCATTGTTGTTATTGTTTCTAGCACCTATTATTATAATGTTTGTTCCTTATAGATGATCTAATCCAAGTTGTTCTTAGTAGGTTTGGAGACATTGAATAGTGAAGAGCTAGTGCCGGAGAGCATAATATTAGTGATTATGATAAGGCTCATAATTTATCATAATTAGATGTGAGAGTAGGACTGAGTGAGCTAGTAAGAACAAATATTATAAGTCATTAGCTGTTATATTATGTATAATAGGTATTGAGTACTCACATTTTTGTCTCCAACCAAAACTAAGATGTGTCTAGATATGTCTTTATAGTACATAAGGTAGAAATGAAAATTTTACTCTAAATTAGCATCTGTGAGCTAACATCCAAGTGTTGCTCACCTATCATTATGTATTCTGCTTATATACTGCCTCAGACTCTTTGGCCACAAACTTGATAGGCTGTTCAAACTTTAACAGCTATTATAGCTGTTTTAGTAAATAATAGCAGTAATATCATGTTTTTTTATATAACTAGGATTTACTATGAATTTGAGGTTATACATATGTTCTTAACTTGTATATGCTCAATACATAAATGATTCTTTGACAATTATATTATGTCTATCACATAATAAAACAGTTTTAACAATGATAATAATTTCTTGCAACATATTTACTGTCATATAACAAATATAACCATAAGCAGCTCTTGATTAATCAATGATATCACCTGTTTCTTTCCACAGCTTCATGACTTAGTACTACATCTATTCTGAGAATATGCAGCAGTTGAGAACATTCCAAAGGCTCAGTAAGTTGTGCTTAGATATATAGATAGCAGCTTGTTTAATATTATTGCTGAGTTTGCAAAACACCATGATAGGATTCCAAATATGTATAAGCATATGAGGCCTATACCTATAACAAGTAAGATTAAACTCTTGCCTTTCTTTCTACTTCCACTACATATCTCAAAGTACTCACTGCTTATATCATCAAAAATGCACTAAGTCCCTGCCACACTATGGTACTAGACATTAACATTAGTATAGCAGTGTTAGTATACATTATATATAATAAAATATCATAGAGTTTATTTTATTGCGATTTTCATAAATAATGACAAATCCAAAAAAAGAAAAACTTTGTACCGCTGTGTTGATCGGTCTGGGTCACCATCCGCACCAATAATACTTGCACATTTGCACACGTCTGACTCATTACTCCATAATGGCAAACAACAATGGCCGTGAACTTAGCTCCGAGGTGGAAGACCTCAACGATGGATGTATGTTCATATCTGGACCATCATTGGGACACTGCTCATGAAGAACAGGGGGCCAGAGCCTGTACAATGACGAGAAGGGAATGAAATTTACTGTACTTTTCACACCTCTTCAACCATTTGACCCCAAGCGACGAAGGAATGCGAAGCCGACAACAATCACAAAGATAGTTTATGTGCATGAAGACATGTCTACGAAGGACATGATTATCAAAGTCCTTGATACCATCAAACGATGCAACTTGCTTCAAACATCTTAGCTCTATGCTGGCTCCAGGCTTGAAGGATCCGATTCACTCACTTTCACATACACTGTATACCGTTCTCAAAACAAAGATGTCTCTCTCGACAATGAAGATGATTATTTGGAGCTTTGTACTCAGGTTCAGAGTGCAAGAAAAGCTGAGGTTACACTCAAGCTAGCTGAACAGAAGGTACTTATATCTCGTCGCCGTGTGGTATTTTTGGCTTATTGAGTTGGTACAATCAAGGTTGTCACTGGCGACAATCTGACTGAAGATGAACAAGATGATGACAAAGAAAATGAGAACCCCAGAAAGAAACGAAAACAGGTATATATGCACTGTAATTTGCTAGTTTCACGTGTGTAATTGCTAATGTGTTGATTGTGGTGGTCATAGCATGTGCCATCGACGGAGGAAATAGCACAAGACCAGCATATAGTCAGCCTACAGAACAAATATTGTTGTGAAGACCGAAGTTGCCCATATGACCTTTGTTATCCCTCAGGTCCAACTGCAAAGCACGTCCATCTCACCCACGAACACCTTCGAACTTGGGCAGCTGCAATGGCACGAGGTCTGAATGTATTATTCAGACATATTTACTGACAGGTTATATGCAGGAGGCTGATACACTCGGAGTTGATATTGAACATCCTTTGAACTCGAAAATCTTTGATCCAACTGACCATGGTGATTCAGATTCTGATGACATTTCAGCTCTTGCATGAAGACGATGTGCACAGCTTGCAGGCCGCAATCACAACAACCAATCCAACATAACTGTCAACTTCGCTGGTCTAGCTGAGCTAATTCGCTTATCCTCTCCTTCAAAAAATCCAACTCGCAGCACCAAGACAATGTCTATCCCTCCAAAACTCGATCTCCAGTCTTTTGCCACTTGGTTTGGTCTATCAGGGCAGCTTCACGACAAACTGAAAGCGATTCATCTGGATGGGCCACACCTTCTCCGTCTTGTCTCTAATGAGCAGCTTCGAACTGAGGGTGGCCTCTCTCTAGGAGAACTAGCAGTCCTTCGTGATGCCGAGGAACGTTGGAAAGAAGGTCATGAGCTGTAATTGAACTGCTATTGTACACTGAAAATTTGTGCTTGAAAACTGTATGTGAACTTCATCATATGTAACCTGATTTGCAGAAAAAGCCCCATGTCATCGACAGCGTGATGGAGTCACAAACACTATACATCTCATAATAGAGTTTCTTGGTACTAAAAGCATGTAACCCACTCCAACGAAGGCGAGATTTGATGACACTGAATGCTTGCTCGATAGGATTATAGTCAGGTGAATATGGTGGTAAATATTCAACTCGGCAACCTTGAATGAACACATCAGCATGCCAGCACTTGAACGAGTCACGACAGCCAATTACCATAGCTATAAATGAGATTGACAACTTCTTCAGAATGGTGTATATGAGCATTGTCAAGAATGATAACACTTCGTGGAGCAGGATATGGGTTGGTCAATGGCAGCTAGTAAGGTCAAGTTGAGTTTAGAGAATGGCTTCGCAATATGAAAACCTTACAAGATCATCACGAAGAAACTCATAGAATGTCTGGTGTGTGAACGAGCCCTCAACAACCCTTGCAGCAATGATTCCCCGATCTAGAGCCATGGCAGCTAACATTGACAGGCGCCGTTTACGAACAAATGGGTCATGCTGCTCGACACGCTGGCCTACAGGTGCCTGGCCCCAAAGATGTGCATAAGTTCTGTCATCTTTTGAGACTTCGTTGAGAGAAATCAGGTAGTTGGCTGGATACTGGCCAATTCGACGGACAAATGCTGCATGAACCATGGGATTGCGTTTGGAAGCAAGCTTCTGCACCCGTTTGACATTGAGTCCAGCACGTTTGAACGAGGCATGGATGGTTGCAAGAGACACAGGCAGATCACGATATTCTTCAAGACGGCAGCTGTATTCATCCAAGAAAAGGGTTGGCTTGTGACGAGCCAAGCGCAGCAAGTACAGACAATCAGAATGAATAAGTTTTTGTGGGCGTCCACGTCCAATAGCAAGTTTTTTCGTAACATCTCCAGTAGCACGATTTCGACATAGAGTTCGGTATAATGTAGATAGTGAGAAGTCAACAAGTTGGCAAATTTTGTGGTCGGAGTCTCGTCGTCGATTTTTCAGCCACAGAGCGATGCGTTTCACATCGTCGCTGATGCGGCGGTTGACCATGATGATGAATGTTAACGGTGTACCACACGCACAAACAACTCACAGCCTCAAACAATTTTCTTTTTTGGGATTGTCATTATTTATCAAAATCGCTATAATATATATATCTAATGTAACTACTCAGGAATCAGTTAGTAGTACATTATTGTTGGATAATAGATAAACATTAGACATATTAAATGTTGAGCTCATTGTAGTGTGCAGTGAGCAGGCATTTCCTAATTAGGCAATAGGGCACTAGTGCAGATGTCTGCACTTGCACCAGATACAGAAAATTGTACATACTGCAAAATTATATATCTGTACTTCTGATAATCTAGAGACTAGTAAAGCTGCATCACAAAAAGTCCAAAAAACAGGTATTACCTTATTAGGCTGACAGTCACAAGATTTTCTGGGTCAAGGGTTATGAGTGTTGAAAAGATGATGCCAGTGCTCGATCATTATGACGTTGAGTAGTTCGAAGCTTACTGTTGTTCCCATGAGTGCTATGCAAATGAGATGCTTCTGTCATCCTGATATGCCAATGATATACTGCTCTAAGTTTGATCCCTCCCTGATATTCTGTGCAATACATACAGTCCACTTTGAACGCACAGTCAATGGAAGGAGCTTGTCGAGTCTATCATGGATTCATGTATACATTGTACTTGGATTCAAATGATATACTGCTATAAGTCTCGTCCGTATCTGATATTCCCTTAGTATGTGCCCTAAGTCTGATTAAATGTGATAAGTGTGTATCTCGAATGTAATGTTACAAAGCTCCATATCCCTCCTGTGCGAGAATATTGTCATCAAGCTCTTCTCCCTCATCAGCCCTAATTTGATCTTCATCGTCGATTCCCTCTTCATGACCATCCTCACTGTCATTGTCATCCTCGCCATCATCCACATCATCCTTGCCATCCTTGTCGTTGTCATTGTCGCCAACCTCAAACTCCAGGTCTTCATTGACATCAACAGAAACCACAGCACCATGATTTCGCAAGAATTCATCCCACTCTCGTGTGACCTGGTGACCGACACCGCCTCCACGGAAGCGCATAGATATATCACAATCAACAAATCTATTCATTATATCAGTGTATAGCAATACCAATTAAATAGAAAACACGTACTGACTATGGTACCTGGAACCATGACAACCATCTTCTGAATGGTGCTGACTCAGATGATGATGAGGAGACTGAAAGCAATGCTGGTGACCAAGCACCATACTCAGAGGTTGTGTCATATCCCGCGTTCCAGACCCGGACCTATCACACATCATTTCCAGACTTCCGGATCCGACCTGCGTCTATCTTCCGTGCCTTATCCCTTTGTACGTTCCTTCTCCAGTTAGACTATACTCATTTTCTGTACCTCGTTTCATTTCTGCCTTTATTTTCCTATGTCTTCATCTCCGTCTTCATTTACTATTTTCCGATAGACTAGTGTTTGACTTTTCTATACGCTCCGTCCACAGCCTCGCATAGCTTCAGACTGCGCAGACTGACTCTCCATTAAGTCCTCAGTAGTATATAAACCCTGTAGAATCCTTGTACTTCCTCAGTTCGAATATTATCTTAGACTCTGCTCATTCCCTTCTCCGTCTGACTTGAGTTTCTCCTCTCGTCGTCCTCTGCTAGTCTTAGGATCAATTCCTATAGACTTCTCACCTCTGCCTCTACCTCTGGTAGTCCTCCACTGTTTCCTTTCTAGTTTGGACAATGTCTGGATTAGTCTTATCCCTTGTTCCTGAACGTCCACCGGAATTCCCATGCATTGGACATCGGACTCTGGACTCGTCCGACAACCTTCGGACATTGTCCAACAGCCCTCGGAAGTTAGGGGCACGTACTCGGGTAAGGGGTGCAGCGCACGAGCTGAAGCCAAGCCCTTCAGATCCGACCCTTGAGCACATTCTTAACAGTATATTCGAACTCACACCTTACCGAGTATACTTACAACTAAATTCATGGCACCAACAACCACTCAGTGTTACAAGTAACATCGGTCACGTGGCCCCCCTATCATTTTTCCTTCATCCTCGCCCTCACCATCTACCGGCTCGTCCTCCTTTACTGACTTTCCGTTGACCAGATCCTTGGGACCATTCCCATCCCTCGCATCACTTGCCTCTTGGCACGTGTATGCACGTTCCTTCTATGACTCGACCACCAATGTGGTCCCGCACCTCTGACTCGGACTGACTCATGCCACCAATGTGGCTTCCCTTTCCTGTTCCCTTCTGACTGCAGATCCCTGCACGTTGTATCCTTACCGTTGGTCCGTTCCAACATTTCTCGGTCTCATTCTGCATTCGACCATCCACCACTAATCCAGCTCTGTTGCCAACGCACCTATACCATTCTCGTTTCCCCTTTACCCTTACCTACTGTGCGGTAGCCTTGCCCTTAACTCCTCTCCCTTAGTATAAGTAGTCGGTCAAACTGTACTAGATTCTCTAACTTGAATCTACTCAATCTTCCCTGGAACATACTTCCCTCTGAAGCCCCCTCAGCTTCAGTCTCTAGTATCTTTTCTTAGTTGCTCATCGCGACTAAGTCTATCTCGATTGACCTCATCGTTTGGACAAGACTGTCCTTACTTTGAGCGACTTCAAAGACATCCGTCCTAGAAGTCACGTGACATGCATGTACTGTGATCACTGCCGACTCGTCATTGCCGGTCTCACTTGCTACACCGGATCCTTCCGGTTACGTCACGAACGTTAGCGGACGACACCCCTCTTAGGGCTCCACATAACAGATCTATTTGAGTGCGTAACACTCAGACCAACCTTTGCGCAGCAGGCTTAGTAACCGCCCGACGCGACTCTACTCCCATAGTTGATGCATTCACTAGCTTCTCACAGCGTTGCGCTAGTGTGCAGGGCGCTGCATCCAGCATCTCTCAACTCATGAATTGTCCACACCCAGAAACCCCAACTTGCACACCGGCCGGATTCCTCCCGGAAAATGAAGATACTCCGGGTGGAGATCTGCCGGATGACGGGGGAGGTGACCTGGACAATGAACCTCCGGAAGACCTGACTGACGATGAAAACAAAGGTCTCGGTCCACAAGACCTGGTCTTCCTCCGCCTTTCTCAGGCAATCAATAACCTGGTGCATAACAACCGCCGATCCGCCATCCCTGACGACTCTAAAATCAAAGTCCGAGAACTGGACACCTTCGATGGCACTGAGCCCCGGAAGCTCCGGGTGTTCTTTGTCCAATGTGAGCTTAACTTCCAAGCTAAGCCAAAGTCTTTCCGCACCGGCCGCGCTAAGGTCAACTTCGTGCAATCATACCTCAAGGGCATGGCCCTTGAATGGTTTGAGCCAGACCTCCTTTCGGATGATCTCGCAGATCGTCTGGAATGGATGGATGACTACTCCGAGTTCATGTTAGAACTCCAAATTCACTTCAGACCTCATGACCCGGTCGGAGATGCGGAAATGCAGCTGGAACAGCTCTATATGCGCAACGGACAGTGCATCAACAAGTATGTTGTAGAGTTCCAACGGCTCGCTTCCCAAGTCCGCGGTTGGGGCGACGGGGCTTTGCACCGTCAGTTCTACAATGGACTTCCGGCTCGCATCAAAGACGAAATCAGTCGTCAAGGAAAACCCACCACTCTGTCCCAATACAAAACCCTCGCCCAGACTATCGACGCCCGATACTGGGAACGCAAGGGAGAAGTCTCCCGCGAAACCAAACCCTCCGCATCCACCCCTCCTGCTAAGCAGTCAGCTTCCACCTCCGACCAGAAAGAATACTCCGGCGGAAAATCCGGAAACGCTTCAGCTTCCTCCTCTGCCAAACTTCCGGACTTGACGTCCAAGCTCGGAAAAGACGGTAAACTCACCTCCAAGGAGCGCCAGAGGCGCATGGAAAAGAAGCTCTGCCTCTTCTGTGGCGGACCCGGTCATACTGCCTGGGACTGCCTAAAGTCCACTTCCTGTGTGGCCAAAGGTCGTGCTAGCACGGTAACTCCAGAAGCCAAACCAGAGGTCTCGGAAGAGACAAAAAATTAGTCCGCAACCCTCTTGACTCCGCGCGGGACGAGGGTTGCATTGACTCAACCCGCGCAATGGAGCTACGTCTCAATGCTATTTCCTTTTCCGATCCGAACTCTTTAGTACCATCCGTCTCTATTTCTACTTTTCCCGATATCTCTCCGTTCCCGGCTCTAGTAGATTGTGGTTCCTCCCATTGTTTTATAGAAAGCAAGCTAATCCGAGAAAATAACATCCCGACCTATGCAATTCCTCCGCTTCCGCTCCATCTGTTTGATGGTACTTCTAATGCCACTATTACCGAGGCAGTAGATTTACCGATCCGGTTTCCGACCGGCGTGGTTACCTCCGAAACATTTTATGTTACTCCGTTGGACTCATCCTGTTCCATCATTCTAGGATATAGCTGGCTCACCCAACACAATCCGTTGATTGACTGGGTAAAGGGCAGCATTGATTTCTGTCCGATTCCTCATGGAGTGCCTTCACCCCCTCTGACCTCACTTCCGCTGGCTCCAGCAGAAATCCCTTCCATAACCTCACCGAGTCCCTCCACTGATAACTCCGTTCCCAATATTTCCCTAATCAATGCAGTTGCCTTTTGCCAGGCCTGTAAATTAGAGGGATCGGTCCAGTTCAGTATTTTCGTCCGACCCACCGGTGCCAATCTCCGCTCCGCTACACTCTCCTCTGAACCTCCGAACCTATCCGGAATCCCTTCGGAATACCACGAGTACGCGGATGTCTTTGATAAGGGCAAAGCCGGACAGCTCCCTCCCCATCGTCCCTATGATCTAAAGATCGATTTGGAAGAAGGAGCGGCTCCGCCCCTTGGCACCATCTATTCCCTTTCTCCAGTCGAGCTTGTAGCTCTTCACAAATTCCTTGATGAGAATATTGTGACCGGACTTCTTCGTTCCTCGTCCTCTCCGCACGGAGCCCCTGTCCTGTTTGTCAAGAAGAAGGACGGCTCCCTATGCCTCTGCGTAGATTT